CTAGCTTACTTTTAGCCGAGTGAGTTAAGCATCAGGCATGGACTTTCGTCTTAGAGAAAGGAGAAGATAAGGTAGTAGTTTAGCATATTTTGTTAGATTATATTTGGAATTGTTTAAAATTTGTTTGGATTAAATTGTTTGAAAATTATTTTACATATCCCACTTAGCCGTCACATGATTAGTTGCATGGTATGCATTATAGCATAATAGCTTTGGTTACTATAACCTTTGTGCGTCATTCCCCGTGGTTAATATTTATACAAGAGTTGGTCTTATCGGAGAAGCACTGAAAGCTTAAACTTGGTGTATGAAATACCAATTTATGTTATTATGCCTCGTTTTGCAATTGAATATATATTTTTCAAACTTAGGACAATTTTGAATATAATTGAGCATGTAGACTATAATTTTTTATGAACTGCATATATGCTGGCCATGAAAATTTTGTCTGACACTCATAGTCTTAATTTGTTGTGTTCAAATATTTATATGTGTTTTGAATATGAATTTAATTATGTTTAGTTTTATATAAATTGTGTTTGATGGTTATAACTTAACTGTGGATTGTATTTGTATTTAGTTAATGATAAGAATTGTACATGATGAAATGGATAATTGGGTTGTGGTTAAGTTGTTCACACTAAATGCTAGCTCGATTTGTGATGTGAAGTTTATTGTTTGGGAATTGTCGTTTAAGCGCTAAATGAGTTTGTAGATACAACTTTTCATGTAAAAATGTTTGGGTATCAAGTCAAAGCCAATGAATGAATTTGTTGTATATTTTATAGTGGGCACTTGAATTATTTTTTAGATATTTTGAAAATAATCATGTGATATTTTCAGTCAACTTGTACTTAGGAACTCTTTTTTTTCTTTATATTGTCTAAATTTTGTTATGATATTTGGATTTCAAACTTTGTTTTAAAAATGGGATCTTACTTATGTGAACTTTTTTATTTTAGTAAACTACTATTTACCATGATATAATTTACTGCAATATTGTTGATGTTGGGATTTTGTTTGGAAAATTAATTATCATGTGGTAATCCCTCGAATCCAATGAGTGGCTTGAAGCTTAGTTCAATTCAAAACTTTAACTAGGTAATTTGGCTTCTGACTATGGGGTATGGAAGGAGATGAGGTGTAGTCAATCAATTTAATATTTGTTTGAATTGTCTAGATAACATTTGTTTGGAAAAAATATTTTATATGCTTTACTTAGTAATCACATGATTAGTTACATTGTATGTATTATCACATATTAATTCTGATTATTGGGACCTTTATGTCTCATTTCTTGTGATTTAACATTTTTACAGAATAAAGGATTCAACTAAAGAAGCACTAAAGGAGTAGCTTGGTGTGTATCAGCACATCTGGACTTGGTTGGCCTATGTTGTTGAATTATATGTATATGTGCCAAGCTAGCATATATTTTGATTTCATTTGAGCATGTAGACTTATTATTTTAATTAACTCCTCATTAGTTGGCCATGAGACTTATATCTACTCCTCATAGCCATATTAACTACTTTATATGAGACTTTCATCCGCCCCTGATAGCCCTAATTTATTAGATTAATTGCATATATATGAGTTTGAGTTATTTTTAAAATGTGAAAATTGGTGGTGTGGTGCTAGGATCAAGTGAACACCTTAGTAAGGGCTTTGGTTGGATTATAACCATTGTTAGGAAAGTATTGTTCGAATCCGAATCGGGTAACGATGGTTAAATCCATCTTTATAAAATGTTGGATAACGACCAAAGTCTTGTATTCATATTAAGGGTGTATACTTGAGTCACTTAATTGATAATTATTTTGAAGATAATATGTTGTTTGAAAATAATTTACCTTGGGAATCCAAGCTTTAGTAGTGTTTGTGATTTTTGACGGAAATGTTGGGTTTTAAATAATTATTTTTATGAGATCCCATTAAGTACACTTTAATACAGGCATTTCCTTTATTACCATGGTAGAGTTGTTTTACTATGTTTAATTCTTTCTACCATGAAAAGTTTTATAAAAATGATTTTTATTTTTTAATTACCATAATAATCTCTTTTCTATCATGGTAAGATTTTAAAATGATATCTTAATTTCTTTCTACTATAGTAATCTTTTATTTATCATGATAGTTTTTTTTATAAAAGTATGTTTTAATCTTTATTATTATGATAGAACTTTTTCTATCATAATAAATATTTAATAACTTTAGTCTGATTAAATCAATCATATATTTGCAAAAAAATTGGTATGTAAATTTAGTGTTACATTTATTTATAATATATATTGTTAATTATTAATTTACTATATATCACCATCGATCTCTAAACAATACCGCTTCTTAGAAGCACCACCTTATGTTTCATTTTTAGGATGGGTTTGTAAAATTTGTTATTTTTGCTAAACAAATTGTTGTTGAGCTTCATGTCTATCCCTTTGATGAGTTTGTTTAAATTACAACATTGTCGATTTGGATCAAATCCTCTAATCCCTTCAAGTTCAACGAACACGTTGTATTGAAGATTCAATATAAGGGATTGACTTCAATTCATAATTTGCATCACTCTCTTAGTAAGTCTTGGTGGTTGTAGAATTTTCAATTAGGATTGTGTAAGTAAAATTTTGGACTCCAATGAATCCCTTCCATTGAAATAAAAGTTAGTTAAAAAAATTAAACTAGTCAAATTTAACATGAGTAGTTTTTTCATCAATTAACATGAAATTATATAAGGGAAGAATGGTAAATTCACTCAAAAAATGTCGAGCTTAAGTAAAGAGCTAATAAAAGCCAAATCAAACTTCAAACTCAAAGAGATTTATACCTTGTATTCCATTTAAATCTTACCAACCTTTCTTTAGTACCATAAATTACCTTGTTTTTTATCCATCATTTTTTAGTTTTCAAACCAAAAAATCATATCACATCTAATGCATTCTATTTTATAGCAGTAAAGTAAAAAATCTAATAAGAGACACAGAAAAGTAAATAGCAAATCCAATTCTTCAAAATTGTTGAAGTTATTTTTACCAAAAAAAGCAAGCAAATAAGAAGTGATATCAACTAACTAGTTGAATGCAGATATTATAACTTGGGATGTTAATTTTTTATCACTACATGTTTTATGATTGTCATGTGAAGACAGGACATACCTCTCTTAAAAGTGCTGGGGTGTCTAGTATGAGTTGGCTTGATTTGGTATAAGGAAGAAGTTCCACAATAGGTAGAGCTAGGTTGGAAAAGAGATGTGTGTGTTGGGGGGGGGACCATAAACACTAGGTCATACTCATTTATACATGTTCTCTTAGAATTGTTGGGTGGCCCAACTTGTGTTCTTCCCCTTCAAAGATACTTCACAGGCTAACAAATAATATCAAAACCAAGCTCTGATTTCATTATGATGAGAAGTAAAAAAAAAAACTAGAAATTATTACTCTTCTTCACACTATGATGAGAAAAGCACAAGCTAATATATGTAGTGAAAATAAATTCTTATCACTTTTTAAAATCTCAGAAAAGCACAAGCTAATATATGTAGTAAAAATAAATTCTTATTACTTTTTAAAATCTCAGAGAAGCAAATAAACAAATATATGGGAGAAAAACTAGAAATTATTACTCTTTTTCACTCTCAAATTGTTGCTTATAAAATTTAAATATGATCTCTCTCTCATAATCTAACATGAACCCTCTCCACCTTAGTTGGTGAGACTCATGATAAATTTTAATATCGAGCCTTTCTCCATATAGAAAAAGAGCCCAAAAACCAGAAAAAAGAAAGCTCTCCTTAGTCATAAAAAAAATTAAAATGGAAATTGTAATGTGTGTGACAAAAGATGAACAAGAATTAGTAAATGAAAAATTTATAACAAAAAATGAGGTGAATCTGCATAAGAAATTTCAGAATTTAAAGGTCCCATGAAAGTGCAAGCCATAGTGCCCTGGGTTGTGTTGGAGTTGGTGGCAAATTATCCCAAATGCCAAGATCTCTTTACTTAGCACAAGTACATTTCCTAAGACAAATAAAGGGTATGAGCTTGCCAAGGGCATGAAATCACTAAGTGAACAAAAAACTTTATTACTTCCTATCAGCTTGCATAACCCATCATAGTGAAAATTGACCCCCAACAAGACCATATTTTAGTATACCCAACATTTAGCTGGCTCTCTTCACCGAATGCCCGAATCCCCATTTTGCTAAGGGCTTTTGTATTCCCTTGGATTTCAAAGAAGAAAACTAGGTGGATTTTCACTCCGTTGCAATTTTTCTTTTCATGTGTTATTTGATCATCGAATGCTAATTATTTGTTGCACTATTGGAGTTGTTTTTTCTCAAAGAAGAAAATGTAGAGCCCCGCAGTAGCTGATTATACAAGGGGTAATTTGGTCATTTCAACAAGAAACATGAGACTCTTGGATCATTAGAAAAATATCAAAATCTATTAGGCCACTTTGGTCTCGAATGCAATTCTCCCATGAAACTGTGCTTGTTGGACTAGGCCTGCTAGAATAAGTTATGGGAGATCATGTGGCACAATCTAAACAATTGGAAAGAGTAATGGCTGGATTTCTGCCACATCAGCAACACCCACTTGGTGCTTGGAGTTACTCTAGTCACTAAATTCAAATTTGAAGAAACAAAGGCTAATTGACATGGTTGTGTTTGATAGATTTGCATCCCATAAGAGGCTAAAATCTACACCCTCCTTAATAAATATTTCAAATGCCATCATACAAATCACTTGATTGTAAGAGATTTTATTATATAATATTTATAAAATAATGAATATTAAATTTTTGAAGAGAACAACATATATGAGGAGTACTTTAATCTTCATGATTGTTTTGAATTTTTGAGGGGATGTATCTTAATAAATTTTAAATATTAATAAAATTAAATAATTATAATTAAGAAATTCATTGAGTAAGTGAATTTAGGACACTTGCAAAATACAAATCTGCCCATGTTTGTGTTGATTGTTTGCTGTTTCCAAACGCACACATGCATTGGATGAGCAAATTGATGACATCTTCGTATAAGCTCAAAAAATAAAATGCCAATATGTGAAGCCTTTTTCTTACCTTACAGTAGCACCTATCTCAGTGTACACAAAACTATCACATAACCTTTAAAAGCTTCCTCAATTCGCATCCATATTTGAACAGGAACTAACTTACCCCATTTTATTTCCCTCATACATATACATATGTATATATATATATTATATTTTACCGACGCATTGTTAGTTGATGATTAGATCTTTATTTTGAAGGCAGGAAGTAATTAGAAGAAGAAGTTGGGAATGGTGGAATGTCAATGAAGTGAAGCAGAGGAGGAGGGTGCTGCCATTGAGGTAGGGGTCCTCCAGCCATGAGAAGGGTCTGGAGAAGAGGCCCAGCTTCTATCACCGCCTTCAGAAGCTTCCCTTTCTCCGGCAACGCCTTCTTCTTCTTCTTCTTCTTCTTCTTCTTCTTCTTCTTCTTCTTATCATCATCATCTTCATCATCTTCAGCCTCACAAAAACCAGATGATATTATTGATGACAAAGAAGCAGTAGCCTCTGCTGATGATGACAAACAGTACTTGCGCTTGTTCTTCTGCTGAAGCTGATCATGATCATCAATCTTTTCCTGCTCCAGCTTCTGGCATTGCGCCAGCCATTCATCTCTCTCTTTCATGGCTTTGCTTAGAGCTTCATTGACTTCCATCAACTCACATTCTCGTCTCGCAATCTCCTCTTTTCCAGACACAATCGTCGCATCTAGCTCAAACCTTGTCTGCAAAATTGCGTACTTCAGCTCCTCCATTCCCTGCAAGATTAACTCACCAATTAAAACCGAACACGTCATTCACACTTAAGCATAAGCATATGGCATCATCATCAATACCTCTTGGTGGAAGTAGATTTCCCAGTTAACAGGGCTGCATAAGCATTCATCTTCCATTATTTTTTGGGGAGAGAGAGAGAGAGGGAGAGATCAGAGAAAGAGTGGTCTGAATGTGTTTTGTTAGTGTTAGTGATATTGAAGTTGTGTGCTAGTGTCTGGTAATGGCTGCTAGCTAGCGAGCTATATCTTTTGATTCATGGGGACAAGAAGTTGGAAAAGAAGGGTCACAAAATTCCAAAACTTTCAATAAAGCACCAAGGACAAAGTATTTGTGTACCGAAAAGAGGAGGAGACGAATTCGGTGGGAATAGGAACTGCAATGAGATTTATCAACGAAGCAGGCAAACTTGGACCTCATTGAATCATCATTATCTTCTTCATGGGGACTTTTTAGTTAGTGGGTGGCAGATAGCACGTGCGTGGGAAACTCAAAGTAACAAACATTTCGGAATCCCAATCCTTAATTTCCATCCTACCAAAAGTAGTTTAAACGGACAATCTCATTTAAATTAAAGATCCTAAGAACATTAATTACATTTAAGGACCTTGAAATTGAGAAATTTTAGATTAGAGTCCTTGATTGGAATTAAGATTTTGTTGAGCAATTTTTTTTTTCAATAATGATATTTCATATTTTCACTACTCATCTTTTAAAATTTCAGTATTCATTTTTTTAATTTTTTTAATATTATGTTTGGATTAATGGGAATTTGAATTTATAGATTTGGATTTGATTTAAATTCAAATGTATTTTTTATTAATTATAATCTTTTTATAATTTTAAATTCTTTCAACACTTTAGTCATTTGAAATTTTACTCACTTCAAATATCACGTTCTCTTTGTGTTTTTATTATTAATATTTTTGTTACTTTGATATCTTTTCTTATATTTTATTTTTATTTATTATCGATAAAAATAAATATAAATTCACTACTTTCAATTTTGTGTTCTTGTTTTAAATATCAATTTATATCTTTTCTTCATTTGAAATTTGCAAGTTTTGAAACTACACAAAAATATGACTTTAAATATATGAATTTTGAATGTGAAATTTGAAATGCAAGATCTTAAATCTAAAATTAAAATTCAAATCTATCAATTCAAATGCTGCCTAATAGTTTTTCAATCATCTTTAATGTTTTAATACTAAAAAAAATCAAATATAAGTATTGAAAATATAGAAGATGAGTATTGAAAACATTTAAAATAACTATTGAAAAACTGAGTGTTGAAAATGCTTTGATGAGTACTAAAAATTTGAAAGCTTAGTACTGAAAATTTAGCAATGAATATTGAAGAAATTTACTTGGAAAAAATTTTAATTCCAACCAAGGACTGTAATCCTTTTTTTAAAAAAATTTCAAAATTTTATTATCATTAATTGTAACTAATGTTCCTATAGGATCCTTAAATATTAGTTTTCTTAATTTAAACCACTTTGCTAATTTTAATTCCAATAGCTTAATTAAATTGTATGTGAAAGCAAGAAACTTAAAAAGAAATTAAACTGCATAAATGAGGACTTTGAAAGCTGAGAAAGAGATGTGAAGGTAAAGATAGTTGTTGATCAAGGAAGTGTGATTATATTGGTGATCGAGGACGAAGAATGAAGGAAAAGTGAGAAAGTGTGGCATGAGGAATGATTAAAGACGCAAAGATCTTAGTTTATTTTATCTTCTTGTGCGTACGTGCTGTGGTTTATCTTTTTGACTGACAAAGATATGTGGAAACTTGTTTTATATTTTTTTTTCTAATTCTTTCTTTCTCTTCTTCGTCCATTTTTCCGGTTTGAACTGAAAAGGTTATGTCATATGCACACCATTCACATTGTATTTTATAGCAGTAGAGTTATGTAAAAAGTACTGAACTGCGGCTTTTTGATTTATAAATGATTCGAATTTGGGTCGTGCAAGCAAGCAGCCGATCCAATGCTAATATGTCTGTTATCTGATTTTATTTTATTTTTTTGGGACCTGAGTTGCAGATATCTAGCTGATTGGACTTGATTTTAGAGATGACAAGAGTTTGGGGTTTTATTTTGATTTTTGACATCACTCTAGTAATTTTTATGAGTGATTAGTCACCCAAAAAAAAAAGTCTTTTGAAGATAGAAATGTTAATGTGTGTAACAAATTTATGTGTAACCAAAATATGTTGATTTAACGGGTGGAATTTTTAATAGTTAGAAATTTAATTTATACTTGTTGTATATAAAGATAAAGCATATACAATGAGAAAGGTTATATCTTTCATGGTATTTACCTATGGAAAGAAATCAGTCCCTTGTATTGCATCAGAAGTCTTATATTAGCCAAAGAGCGTCATAAGAAAAGTATGCTTTGTAAGTTTAATAGAATTTTTCACCTAATAGGTAAATTTTTTGAAATATGATAAGGGTTAAGTAACAAAAATGTTTCAGAATTTTTTTTAAAAGAACTATGAGTATCTTTACCTTTTAAAATGAACAATATTATTTTAAAAGTTTTAAAAAAGCGTAATTTTACCTCACCATTAACCTAGACTAACCTTAACTATTATTTTGATTAATAACTTAACACGTGTCTTTCTCTCTCTTTTTGAATTGTTCTTCTTCTCTCCCTGATCATCTTCTTTGCGACGTTTGCATCTTCCTCGTCTCTCTACCAATGCTTACCCAAATCCTTCCCCTTTCAACTTTGTACTTTGTCTCATAAATCTAAAGATCTAGAGATAAAGAAGGCCCATATTATTCCTTCTTCAATTAAACGAGTAAAGATTTAAATTGTTCATCTAAGAGTAGAGCATGGAGTGGAAATGGGCACCTCCTTCATCCTCCTTCATTTGAGAGCACACGTACACAATCTAACAATCCTCATGACTGTCAAGCCATGATATAACGTCATTTTTCAAGATAGAGCTAGACCCACCCTATCGAGCGATAGTGCAACCTAGCGAAAACTTCCCTTCCAAGTTCCAACGTCGTGTATGAGATCACTTAGGACTTCATAATAGGTCTATTATTTCAAAGCTCCATCTTTGTAGCCCGTCAAGAAGTGGCCCAAGCTTATCTGATTGGACTCTTTGAGGACACGAGGAGATTCTTAGAATTTGAAACCCTATTTCCATAAATCTCAATGGTTTGTTTGATTTTTTTTATGTTTATTTTTTTCCTAGTGATTGTATAAATTCCTCTTGTCAATCTATTCTATGTGGTTGTGGCTATTGCTTATCTAGGTTTTGGGCGTTATTTTAGGTTTTGGATTTTTTTCCCCCTTTTGTTAACAGTCACATTGTTCCACAACCACTTTGTTATGGTTCTTGATAGTGAACTTGAAGGGTTTGGCAAGGGTGGATTTGAAGATGATGATGAGACAAGAAGGGGATTTTGGATGAAAGTGAAGATAAGTTCGATGAAACCAAAGGAAGATAGATAGATCAATTTGATTGGGATTCTAATAAGTGGGAAGCTAAATTACTTGAGGATAAGGGTGATAAATTGAATATGGATGGATTTACACTAACCACTAGTGATTGAAAGAATTAACTGTTTCTATGGTGAAGACTGAAGGTGGTACGTCGTGAATAGAGGTAGAGCAAAGGCAATGTAGATCTATTTTTTTAATTTTTTTTAAAATGCCACATTAATTTAGCATTTCACATGTTTTGCAAGCATTGATTTTTAGCATTCCATTAGTTAAACGTTAATCAACCATTGGAAAAGAGCAAAATTGTTCTACTTTTTAGACTTCCTAGACAACATTACCCTTTCTAAAAAATAAGAATACCCAATCCTCTTTTCAAAAAACTTTTAGAAAATTTTGCCCCTTAACCCATATAATAATATCTTTTTTTTTATGCTTGTAATATTGATATTTTCATTGAGAGATTGATATCATAAAAATGCCTACCCACAAAAGATTATAATTGATAAAAAAACAACTAAAGTGCTATAGAGTAAAGTTGTTAGAAACATCAACTTTCAAACGAGCTAGTTTTTAAGAATATAATGGAATCTCTCTTTAAATTTATGCCCGTAACATTGACATGAATACTTTAATCCTTAATCAAGAAAAAAATAATGCTAATAATGTCAAAGCAAAAAATAAAAGTATATTTTAAATAGCATTTGGAGAAGGTAATTCATGCGATAGGCAGAACCTATTTCTCGTACTTAAAAAAAAAGGTATATTTTCAATGAAAATTACTGGTTGAATTCAAAAACTACAAGCTGTATACAAAATTTAAATATAGTTGAAAATATAATGGTAACGTAACCAGAAACACTGTGAAAGGAACTAACGGGATGTATGACTTTGCTAGAATTTGGTTGGAAGGCAGAAAATGGCTAAAAAAAATAAAGGTGATGAAAATGACTAAAACTTATTATAAATTTATTAATCCAATTAATCGTAAATCTAATCAGTAAAAGAAAGAATAGACAGGGAAAAGTAGATGAAATGGAACTTTAATTAATTAATCAATCAATTAATTACAAAATACAACAGAATATTTGGATGTAAATGGAAAATTCTTTTTTCAAATGAGAGGACCCCACAACCTCTCACGTGATGGTTCTTGCCTTCTTGATGCCGCCGGTCTGCACAACAACAAAAGCTTTAAGCCACTAGAGTTACAATGAAAGAAAGTTAATTTCTTTCCTCAGAAACTAAAAATAAAGGTAATTTTTTCTTCCTTTCTCTCTTTGGTTTTTTTATTTTATTATTAAAGGATCGAGATGAAGTCGAAAAGATATCACATTTACATTAAAAAAATAAGTAAATTAAAAAGAAAACACTTGACAAAATGCCAAGTGTTAACTGTGATATGTAAAAACTTCGAAATTAATTGAAGAGAATCTGCCCAATTGACAACCAAGACTTGCATTAATGATAGAGTGACCCCAGTATTTGTTTTGTAATTGAAAGAACATCAAGTTAAAACAAACAATAAAGATGGAATGAAGCGCAATTCTCTCTTCTGTTGCAAAGCTAAAGATCCAATAGAGAACTGAGCGAAAACAATCATTTGCAAAAACAAAAAGAGATGATTTTGTGATTTCTTAACCTGTCAGGTTCAACTCTGCAACTCTTTTCCATTCAAAACAATTGTCATGCTAAACGTATTATAATTTATAACTTTTCTTTATATAGTTTTATCAT